TATGAATTTTAGGAAGAAACCAGACTAATCAAATGGGTCTCCTTCATTGACGTTCATCACACTGTCCATATCAATGCATAACATAGTAGCATACTGCACACTTATGAAACATTTCTACACTTGATTAATGGTTTACATGACCTTAATATTCTGGAACCCATTACCTACCCCTGACACGAAATAGCTTCGTGCCTGCAGACAATGGAAGAACTGGTTGCATCTATTTCGTTGGAGTCAAAGTCTTCAGACGGTAAATCTGTTAACGTCACAGAAGGTACAAAACGACCTGCACCCGCAACAGGGGGATGCAGACTTGAAGGTTTTGTGCGTGTTAAGAAGGTAAAGAATTTAATTAGGACATTCCTTTTTTATTTTTAAAGAAGTTGTGACCTCTATCTGTCTGATTGTTTGGAGAAACTTGAAGGTAAGTATGAAGACGTGAGCTACATTGTTCAGCTTTGAGGAGGTATAGGGAGGGAAGGAGGGAGAGGGGGGTGGGGGGGAGGGTGGAGAGGGGTCCGTTTGATACTAGGAAATACAAGGGGAAAAAAATAGAGATGAAAGTTTAAGGGAAATTGGAAGGAAATAAAAGTCGGGGAAAATAAAACATTTCCTCAAACTCAATAGAATTAATAAATATATTTTTGAGATTTGTTAAAACTCATGTTATTCAGCTATTTCTATTAATCTATTATATAAAGACTAACATGTGATATATTTAAAATTCTAAATATATCATTTTGTTTAACATGTGATATATTTGAACATATACTCCCTCTGCCCTATATCAAGGTTTTCTGTGCGGTTTACAATAGCTGACTGATGATAAAGTAAACTGTTCCCTGATAAAGTATGATTATTTTTAATAATTAAAGTTTACATATCCCGAAACTATGCTAGAAATTTTACGAATGTTTTCTGTTATGAAGCATCAGTCAGTCCAGGCAATTTTGGACGCGGTTTTCACTATGGGTCATCCAGAAACAGTCTCTCTGTGCTTAGTACAGAGGTAAGACTACGTACATCCGACCCCCCTTACCCCACCGTAGGTGGGAGCCTTTGCGGCACTGGGGTAAATGAAAATGATGATGATGATGTTTTCTTTTGGATTGAAATTTGCTGGCCTGGTCTAGTCTGGTATGAACTGATCTGGTAAACGTCTGGTCTCTGTGTATTTTATAATTGTCCAAGTCTGGTCTTGTTTGTTTAAATCTTTTCTGGTTTGTTTAAATCTGGTCTGGTCTGTTTAAATCTGGTCTGGTCTATTTAAGTCTGGTTTGGGACTGAAAACAGTCCAAAAGAAAGCATCCTAAATCACAAAAAAAAATTAGAGAACGTCCAAATTTATGATACTAATACAAAATTAAAGATTTAAATAGAGTTAAGTTGACTGTGTGAATAGTGTACGAGAACCTTGAAATGGGATAGAGGGAATACAAAAATTTCAAAACATTAATCATATTTCTTTTTCCTCTGCATTTTCTCTAGTAAAACCCAACACAAGAAAATAACTTTCCTTAATGAGTCCCTTCCCTAGTTTTTTTTTTCAGGATCGAAAGATACCCTAAACGAGTGTAGGCTAGTGTAATTATAAATGCACAATGAGTGGTTTAAAACACCCCAACACATTCAATATGTTAATCACATGGTTTAATTCCTAACCTGCAGGTTCCAGGAAACCTTGTCATATCAGCTCGTTCAGCAGCTCATTCATTTGATGCTTCCCAGATGAACATGTCACATGTGATCTCCCGTTTTTCCTTTGGTAAGATGTTAACCCCACGGGTAGCAAGTGATGTGAAGAGGTTAATACCATACCTAGGTCAAAGCTATGACAAGTTGAGTGGCAATGCTTACATTACCAATCCAAAGGAGTCCAGTGAAAATGTTACGGTAAGCGTTCTACTTTCGTTAACCAATCACTGACAAATCTAGGGTTTCAGAATTTGCTTATTATTTTATATGTTTCCTTTTCTGCATTCTTACAGCATTGATCAGTGCAGGGGGCTTTTATGTTTTTTTTAATACCCAAAATACTTCTCTTTAAGTGGTTTATTAAATATAATGATGCCAATGCATGCTACTTTACATTCTTGGTAAAGCGGGTTAAATCTTTAGAGTGGTCTGTGGGCTAAATGACCTAAACTATTACAACTACCAGACTTGGGGGGTCTATTAGGGCTGTGGGGAATACTACAGAAAGATAAACGGAAGAAAATTCTAGAGGAGTATTGAAAGGAAAGAAAATGTGGGGGTAGGGCTGTTACAGATAGGCTAAAGTGCTAAACCTCAATATATTTATGTTACATAATTGTTTTTGAAAAAAGTATGAAAAAAGTACCTGAGGTTGGGACCGTTTTCAGATAGGGCATGTGTTTCATTTTTTAACAAAGTAGGTCATGTGTTTAAATTCCGGTATCACAGGAGGGGACCCGAAGCCTGACGCTTTTAGAAATCGCCTGAGTAAGACGATGAGCAGTAATTTCGATTTTCAAAAGTTCCCAAAAAATTACAATACTCGGAAGTGGGCCTCGTCAAGGAGACCTCCAAACCACTGTCCTCTTTGGATTTTCCGGATCTGTTTTGTTTTTTAAAATCGAATTCGCTAATATCACTTTTGCGGAGGACTTTCCGGCGACAAGGGTGGCTGGAAACAAAAAAGTAAGAGGCCTAGAGGTTGCCTTGATGAGGCACACGTCCCAGTATTTTTCATCGTCTTCCTCCGGCAATTTCTAACGGCATAGACCCTCCTGTGATAACGGAGTTTAAACACATGGCCTACTTTGTTAAATAATGAAACACATGCCCGTATATGAAACTGGTCCAACCACAGACACCTTTTCTGTACTTTTCCCTTGTTTTTGTAGATATTTGTTGAAATTTAGCTATATAAACTGTATAAAGAGTTAAAGACTAAGGAAATGGTTGGTAGGGAAGTTCGGGGAATGAGGAGTGGGAATGAAAGGATAGATTATGCTTGATAATTACCTCACTATGCGTTTGATTTTCCAATTTTGGGCATAGACCCATACCCCCTTCTTTCAAACTCATTCTTATTCCCATTCCCATAAGTATTCCTTTAAATGAACAAAACGTACCCTAAGAACTAAGTATATGTAAGTCAAGGATAATAATCATGTTCATTTTCCTTCACAATTTCCAATGTGAAACTAAACACAAGAAAATGACGTTCCATAATTATTTTTACCCTTAGAATATTCTGTGATCCAAACATTCCCTTGGCATTGAAGTGAATTTTCTCCTTCCCACATAATGCCATTCTTCTCTCCTGCAAAATCTTTGTTTAACCTGTGCTAATGTTTCAAAAGATCAATAGAATCACAATCTTTTTGTTGAACTCATGTCTATATTATTTTTCTGTAGTTACTTTTTCCTTAACTTGTAAGGTCCGTTTGGAACCCCAAAAACAGTTAGGGAAAAAATATGTAGATGACAATAGAGGGAAATGGGAAAGAAACAACATTTTAGGGAGGTAATAGTCCTCTCAAAACTAGATAATATCATTTTAGATATTTGTTCAAACTCATTTTTTTTGAAAGGAAAGGATTTAATTAATATTAATCGAATTGTTCGCTAATGCGGATACAATGAAAGGAGGAGAAAATAACCACAATTGCGAGTCAGGCAAAGAACAAGCCGCCCTAGCTAACAAATGGGCCGGCTTATTCGCTGACCGCTTAACATGACTAAAAGAAATGCTCGAAAAATGTTTCGCCAAATCATTGATGTCGTCACGAAGTAATCCCACCGTTGAGCTGCTAGATCCACTTAGAATTTCTGATATCGCTCCTGCTGAATCAGAATTAACCTCAACTGATGTTCAAACTCATTTTATTTATTTACTTATTTTCATCATATAAAGCCTAATATATCTGAACATGTGACCTTCATTTCAAAAAGTAACCATATTACATTTTCTTGTGCATTTTCTGAGGAAAAGGCGAATATAAGAACTTTCCTTGACATTTCCCCTTTCCATACTATTTTTCATGATTCAAACATACCAATTAGATTATAGGAATTGTGAAGCTTTGTTACAACTTATGGACCAATTTATTTGCAGATTGAGCATTACATTCAAGTTGTGAAAACAGAGGTGATGACAAGATCCTATAAACTCGTGGAGGACTATGAGTACACAGCTCATAGTAGTTTGGTTCATAGTCTTTATATACCAGTCGCTAAGTTTCATTTTGAGCCATCACCATTGCAGGTTTTGCAATTATACAAGCCGTTGTGTCAGCGTGCATAAATACCCTTTTTTGTTTGTTTGTAAAAATACTAATAAATTAATGCCATCTTTTGTGATCAGGTGCTCATAACAGAAAACGTAAATTCGTTCTCACACTTTCTTACAAATGTCTGTGCCATTATTGGAGGCGTTTTTACGGTCAGTTTTTACTGAATCCCAGTCCTCTCCTCTCTCCCATTTATATACACCCTTCTTTATGGGCTGGATATACAAGTTTGTTTATTATTTTGAAATTTTGCAGGTGGCTGGCATATTGGATTCGATTTTGCACAATACTATGAGAATGGTGAAAAAAGTTGAATTAGGAAAGAATTTTTGATAAATAGTTCATCAAAGTCATTTAATTTAATCTATATGTATTGTTCGTAGACCAAACATAAACGTAGCATTAAAAAAGAATGCTACGGATTTCTGTTTTTCATCTAACTGGATTTTGACATTAAAAAAGAATATATTATGTATTGAATAATACTATAATGCATCGGGAATAATATTAAAAGAGCCACACACACCAGCTCTTGGGTTACTCATATTACAAGGTTGGTTCTTTGAGAGTATAGAACGCCAAATCTTAACAAATGATACTCTGCGTAGACCTTCACCCCTTCAGCTACTTAAATCCCTTGTGTAAATAGTAACATCAACATGATAGGAAGATCGAAATAGCAATTAGAGCTCCAACCAAGCTAATGGAACCTTGAGTAATGGAAGATGGACTACCATTCTTTGGAGGAAAAGACTCTTGAGATGGCACATATGGTGGTGAATCAGCAGGTGAAGGCATTGGCGCTTCTGGTCCTGATGGGGATGGAGACGGTGCCTTCTCAGTTGGAGGAGTCACCTTCCTGTTTGGTGCCGGAGATGGAGTTACCTCAGGCACCAATGGTGAAGGAGAAGGTGCAGAAGAGCGATGTCTTCTGTCAGCCATGACGACGACTTCCAATTTTTCGTTCTTGTTACACCTGTCACGGCTCCCGCTTATGAAGTAGAAGTGCCCGGAGTGGTTGAGCGTGAATGAGGTGTTCCCATCCTTGCGTTCCCCCAAGTGGTTTTTGTTGCACTCTTTATATTGCTCTTTCGTTACTAGAAGGACTGAGTCATTGTTAGGTGAGCGAAACACTGCGTTTCCAAAAAGAAACAAATTAGTTGTACCAGTACATAATTTTAATCTGTGGTCAGTTGGTGACATGAATACATGTTCAACTCATTTATTACTACTATACGAGTGAGACATCTACATTGAGAGAGAAATGAAGTGTAATTTCGAAGATGGAGAAAGAGTTAATTTACCGATGGTATCTCCAATTTGAAACCTATTTCTGCTCGCCCATTCACTATAGTTATAATGGTTTGGAGTACCCCATTCTGTGACGTTGAAAGTATAAGCAATGCCTTTCTGTATCAGGAGCAATACACAGAGTGACCTCAACATATATACATTTGCTTTCCAAGACATTATATTTGCTATATTTGGATTGTTGGGTTAATCTGATGAATGATATTTGTAGGAGAGGTTACAAGTGCTGGGCCGCTGGGGGAGAAGCATTTTGCCTTTCTTTGTGGTTACCTTTAGGATTTCTTCATTAATGTTGCAAAGCATATGCGCTATGCTTTTTAAACTTTGACCCTCTTTCTTCTTGATCTCTTTATTTACAGAATTATAGTCCCTTTATGCAAGTTTATACTTTTCTTGGCCATTCCCGTGTATTTGCTTGTGACGTGCACATCAAAGGAATGACCTTGCACCTAGCCTAACATGTAGGATCATTTCGCGCACACAACACATACTTACATACATATTTTGAATTTATAGTTTTCAAAAATCACAATATTTATCCTTTTAGTTTTGGAAAAATTAAAAATAATAATCCCAACTATTGCCGGTCCGCCGATAATAATCCCAACTATTGATTATTTTTGTATAATCCCAACTATATGGACCATCTGCCAATAATAGTCCATGACCAAATATTACCTTCTATAAAAAGTGAATTTTAAATAGAAATTAAGTGTAAAAATTAAAAGTTGAGATTATTTATAGGGATTACTTGTTATATCTCTTCTCATCCACTTTAGAAACTACAACAATTTATTAATAGGGACCATTATTGGCGGAAGGTCCCTAAAGTTGGGATTATTCTGAAATAATCGATAGTTGAGATTATTATAGGCGGACCGCCAATAGTTGAGATTATTACTATCAATTTTTCCTTTAGTTTTTATAAGTACGACTTTTAAATTTAATTTCAATGAATGGTGGCTCTACTGTATACATTTTTATTTAAAAATAAAATGTATTTTCATTACATATAAGTATATAAAAAGATATTTAAAAGTGTTGCATCTTAAATTTACACAATGTGAAAAAAAATAACTTAGTTTATTTAATAAAAGCACTCTCAAACGATATTGGTAGATCAAAGCAGAAGCCTTTGTTTGTCAAATGTCAAAACTAGTTTAAATGTTATCAATTCATTTCATGATAAAACATCTATCCACCTATATTTTCTTTCAAATGATATATTCCAAGTTTGCTACATGAATCTTGTTAGAGAAATTGGTCAAATGCTTAAGTTCTACATGAATATATAATGTGTACTAATGTTAGAATATTTAAAGGGTTTTGCATATTTTGCTTATCAAATGGGTGTTAAAAACGTCAGATAATTCATTGTGCTTAATTGTGCCTCGAGTTTAATACTACGTATCATAGAAGCTTTTATATCTGAATTCACTTGAACTTTGTTAGAGAACATTATTTGATATAGTATTTCTGAATATTATTTGATATCTTACAAAATCATTGCAACTCTTTATCTATTATAGATAAAATTTCCAAAATATAGTAATCTATTTTTAAAGGGTTAGTACCCCAAATCTCAAATTTATTTATCCAAATTATGCATTTGAATTTTTTGGAGCGAGTGATTGTGAAAAGGCTCTGAAGAAGTGTAAAGATTTCAAAGAATCAATCCGGTTTTACGTCTGGTCGCTTAATAATTGAGGTTATTCACCTTCTTAATCAATTCATAGAGAAACATAGAGATACTAATATGCATTTGATGTTCATTGACTTACATAAAACGTAGTATGATAGAGTATCTCGAGAATTATTTTAGTGGGTCTTAGCTAGAAAATTTATATCATGAATATGTAAGTAATACAAGTGTCCTTACTAGTGTAGGAAGGATGGTAGAGTTTCCTATTATTACTACAGTGTACAAAAGATCAGTTTTGAGTCCCTTCTTATTTGTTATATTCAAGAAGATATAACGTGGCGCACTATATTTGTTGACGATTTGTGTTAATTGATGAGACAAGATTGAGTTTCAAAGCTAAGTTGAAAGTATGACGACAAACTTGGAAGAATGAGGGGTTCAAGTCGAAGCAAGTCTGGGTATATGGAAAGCAAGTTTGATGGAGTTAGAAACAATGATTATAATGGATCACCTTAAATTGTAAGGAGATACCGGTTAATGATATATTTTATTACATGGATCCATACTTTAAAAAGACGGTGAACTAGATGAAAATGTATTCCATAAATCATAATAGAGTGGATGAAATAAAATTGAAGAGTGCATCAAAATTTCTACGTGATCGAGGTTTGCCGACTAGACTAAAAGATAAGTTTTTTCGAACATCAATTACACCATAATTATTGTATGACATATAGTGTTAGGCAGTGAAACAATGCCACATTCAAAAAATGAGCGTGACTAAGAAATGCATGCTACATTGGATGTGTAGACATAGCGAAAAAGATAACTTGGGAAATGAGATAGTTAGACAAAAGGTGGAAATAACACATATTGAAGATAAGATGCGAGAGTCTTTATTGTTGTAGTTTGACCGTGTGCGTAGAAGACCGAGTGATGCAAACAACCTATTAGACAAGTTGAGAGGGGTGGAGAGAAGAGGTAGGAAGGGAAGGGAGAGGAAGATCCAAATAGATGTGTATTAGAAGAATCATAAGTGATATGATACTTCTTGGATTGAATGATAGTAGACTTTGATGAGAGCGAAGTAGATTGAAAACATTTGTGTGAAAGATTGATCTCATTTCATCTTCTTTTTTTTTAATCCCTTTTACTCATCTTTTTTGCTCCGATTTCACATGTTGATTCATGTTAGCTAACTTACAACTTTTGTGGGATTGTAACTTGAATGTTTACTTGAATGTCTTTGTTGTTATTGTTGTTGTTTTCAAATGAATAATTTAATAAAATGTTGCAACATCTAAGTTTTAGTGTCAAAAGAGTTTGAGGTCGGTCGACAAACATGAACTAACTTATAAAATCAGAGTTAAAAACCTACGCCAAATACCATTCTCACAGCAACCTTCATATGAAGGATACATCAACAACATCTAAGGGTATGTTTGAAATAACTAGCTGAAAAGATACTTTTGTGATCTTTTTAATAACAGTTAGCTTTTAGTGATTGAAAAGATCTTAAAAAGGAAAGGTGGTATATGTTTAGTAAAAAGATGACTATTTGATTTAGTTCAGTTTGGTATACACGCTGTTAGGACTAATTAATACTAAAAGTCACTGGATTTTTTCAGATGCTACTCTTTGTAGCATCTCAAAAAAGAACTTTTAATTTTTGAAAATCTCTTAAAAATTGTCGTGTCAAATATATAACTAAAAGTTTTTAGAGATTTTTTGAGCAGTACAAAAGTTAGAAGGCAGAGACTTATGTCTGCCAAACATAGTCTAATACTACTGAGTATTAACTAAAATTGTAAAAATTATTTTGAAAACTTGAATTCAAGGGGGCCAAACATGTATCCACACTCCACAGGGCTTACTCAAGAGCAAAATATGGGATATGTCAATACAAAAATTTATATAGATAAAATTTTCAGAAATTTTTTTATGCATAAAATACACATTTTTCAATATTTGATTTGGACCAAGCCCCGCTCAAGCCCCTACGGCCTTACATCTACCCTTGTGTTTATCTTATAAAAGCATGAAATTTCCTGAAAAATATCATTTATAGGGTTAACAATCAGGTTCTAAAGGGGCTGTACTTTCACTACTCTACTTTCAGTCTTTCACACGTCCAAATCCAATTATGTAATTGCTAATTCAAGTTTTACTGCAGTTGAAAGGCATTACTTTTTAACCGAAGGAAGAGACATTCCGTGTAAATCAAACAAATGAATGTGAAAAGTTGACCCTATTTCTATCAGTAAGTAGCCAAAGCCAGCAAGCCGTCGCTTTTGACCGCTTTGCTTTTTCTCTGTTTTTTATGTGGGCCAATCCAATCCACCTCAGAGAACAAACTCCCTGAACATGAAATCTCAATGTTACCGGTGGGCGTAGCTCAACTGGTAGCGAGGAAGTGACACAAGAGTTAGGTCTCGGATTCGAATCCTGACAACTGCGATGAGGGGTTACTATGCTGAAAAATGTATATGGCTTCTGCAAGTACCGGGGACAGAGTCTCACTCTCTATCTGTCAGATTGTGATTATAGTCCAATTTACATCCTCTCATCGTGCCGTCCGGTCGGTGTTGGGGGGCCCTCAGGGATGGTGTGTCATCCTTTTTTTAATGAAATTTCAATGTTGTCTGGACTCTAGAATAGGGGTGGACTCGGGCCGGGCCGCCCGGCCCGGAACCGGCCCGGTCACTGTTTGAACCGGCCCGAACCGCCGGCCCGGCCAGGGACCGGTCCGGGTAGGCCCGACCCGCTGGGGTTCCGGGCCGGGCTCGGGCCCTTGAAAAGGTGAACCGGCCCGGTCCGGGCCTATTTATTTATTTTTCTTTTTTTTTTGATTTTTTTTTTAAGTTTTTGGGTTGGGCTGGGTATTTGGCTAAAGGGTCAAATAGGTAAATGAACTAACTTAAAGTGTTCAATTAGCCCCTTATATAGGAGGTTCTGCCCGGCCGTCGCCAATTGGGGCGGTTCCTGGTGGAAGTTTTTGATGAAATTTTTTGAGTATCTTATTCATTAAGTCTAGTTTATCCATACCAAATGTCAGCTAAAAATTCACTTGGGAAGGCAGTCAAATAATTTTTTGAAGATAACTGCGTAGTTAAACAACGCAGTACATTTTGGAAAATCATTTGACTGCCTTCCCGATTTAATTTTTAGCTGAAATTTGATATGGGTAAACTAGACTTAATGAAGAAGATACTCAAAACAATTCATCAAAAAATTCAACCGGGAACCGCCCCAATTGGCGACGGCCGAGCAGAACCTCCTATATAAGGGGCTAATTGAACACTTTAAGTTAGTTCATGTACCTATTTGACCCTTTGAGGTGGTTTGGGGGGGAGGGGGGAGGGTTGGGGGTTAATTAGGAAAAGCCAAAAAAAAAAAAGTTGAACCGAGGCCCGGCCCGAACCGGACCCGGGGGTTACCCGGGCCGGTTCCGGGCCTCCCCTTTCATGAACCGAGGCCCAGCCGGGCCCAGGCCTGAACCGGGCCCGAGTCCACCCCTACTCTAGAACAATATCATTCCAATTTTATTGACCTTTTCAGTACTACGGTAAAAGGAAATGGCAATCTAGGTATTTTATTTCATTTTTTAATCTTCAAGCCCAAAAGCTTCACCATTATTAATTAGGGATGGAGTCGTATATATCTCATAACAACTTGTACTATTTGGATAAAGTTACTTAATGATTTGGTATATTAAATTGAGAAATTTTCTTCCCCAACAGTCCAACGGCAGAAATGGGAAGCGTCTTGGCAAGATAACATTTTTTTTAGACAATTCTTTCTAACCTATATAGTATCTGCTCAATGTTAATGTAACATCCTTGAACTGGGATGAGATTCGAACATGTGACCTCCTCCTTGGGAGTGTCACAATGATGCCATCAAACCACAAGGTACTTGGCTCTTAGCAAGATAAGATAAAAATCCCTCTTAGTATTGTACTTGTGTCAAACAACATTATTCAAGTAACATGTAATCAGACATGAAAATACACTTCCACATGAGTCAACTACTCCCATGGCAATCAAGACATGATGAAACAATGATCATCTTTTAATATGAATACTTGGCTGGCATGAAACACAAAGTTACAAACACATTATTCCTTGTTTCTTTATAAAAATAATAGGACAGACATAAGAAGATGATTATACATCTCTAGCGACCAGCTTCCTGATTAAGCTCAGTTTTAGAAAAACTACATCAACAAAAATAGATTAAAGATGCACCGCACCTTGTGTGAATGATAACATGTTAAAGTTGGATCATTTCAAGTGTTTTTCGCAAACATGAAATTTATCATCTTTCATCACTTAAAAAATAAAGAAAATGGAGAGTGTAAACCTCATCGACACATACACAGGCAGAGCCCCCCCAAAGAAATTCCAAGTAGTTATTGAAATGTTTTATAGTAAATATGTTGGTACAAACTATTATTTATATATACTTGTCCCCTCAACCGTAAAATCATGGGTCACTTTTGCTCATCGATTAGCACTGAAATATGCAAGTACTTACAGAGAATCAAGCAACAGCTATCTCTCCAAAATTGACAGTGTCTTCGACTAACTGGGATTTTTGCTCCATGTCGATGAACTGGTTCGATTTGCTGGCAAGATGTGAAATGCTAACCCTACCTTCACGTTTGATGTAGTCTGCCACAGCTTTCATTTCTTCTAAAGAGATGTATATGTACTTCCCTCTATCATCCATAACACCCGAAAGCCTCCCTAGTGAGATCAACAGCTTCTTCATAAGTTTTACACATGTGTCTTATAAAAAATCAAGTCTATACAATTTTCACCTGCAAGTACAAATCTTAGGAAGGACAAATTATACTCGACTAGTTTAATGAGCTCTGGACTATCGGTGTATGTTTGAACCCCAGAGAATGTTATGGAAAGGAGAAAAAATGTTAAGTTAGCTTCTTAAGTTTGGGTTAATCTTGACAAATGATAAAGAATAGGATTATAGGAAACATCATTATAAAAAATCAACAATTTTCACATATGTTTTACACATGTCTTATAAAAAATCAAGTCTAAACAATTTTCACCCGCAAGTACAGATCTTAGGAAGGAATAATTATACTTGACTAGTTTAATGAGCTCTGGACTATCGCTGTATGTTTGAACCCCAGAGAATGTTATGGAAAGGAGAAAAAATGTTAAGTTGGCTTCTTAAGTTTGGGTTAATCTTGACAAAATGATAAAGAATAGGATTATAGGAAACATCATTATTCTTTATTTAAATTTATACAGATATTTAGACTTCTTAGACCATATAAAATGAGTACAACCGAAATCCTACAGTAAAATATTTGAGTTTTAGCCTACATTTTATCCCCCGTCTCCACAATTCCTTCTTATTTTCCTCTATGTTTTCCTTCCTATTATCTTCACCTAGTACTTTCTGGGCTTGAAACAGATCCTTGAAGACAATGGAAAGATTATGAAAACATCACATTCATTGCTAGCAGTTTATATAAGATATAATTTCACGACACTTAAAGATTGATAAACAATCCCAAAACTTTAAGTTAAATGTTCGTTTAATGCACCAGACAAGAATGGCTAAAGCTGAGCATGAAGTAAGCGCGAGCAAGATGGATGATATGATACAACAAATATGTAAGTTTTGAAGAGGAAGAAATTTTGTACCCATCTCTTCCAGTGAATTGATCCGGTTGATACACTCCTGCAAAACATAGATTACCGGCTTGAAAAGATGGCACCGCAATAATACATGGGAAAACAGAACCGGGTGATGTCATTGACTACGATCACATGAAAGAAGACCACTGAAGCACATAGTGTAACTTTCCAAATACTTGACTTAAGAACAAAAACAATTTTTGAACATGAGAGAAGAAAATTATACCTGGGTCCTCAACTTGAATTCTGCAGCAAGATCCTCCAGTGGAACACATTTGTGCTTCTGCAACATCAGAAAAAATTTTATAAAAACAAATACGTAGTATTGAAATATCAATTTGCTTGCTTTTCTGTCAGTAACTGAATGAGTAGATTCACTTGGTGTGATTATTGAAAAATTTAAAAAATAACCTCAGCCTATCTGGGATGATCCCACCAATTTGGTAAAGGCCCCCCCATCCATGCTATTACTCTTTCTAGCTACTCCATACATAAAACCCAAACTTCTAACAAAGAGGGATTCTCTTTTTGGGACAGAGGAACTAATTTTTATGGTTGTAAAGTGCAGATGGATGATGGTAACAATTTATTATTCTGGTTTCAGTTTTTCACTTTGCAGGCTAAAAGGTGAAAACTGCAAAATAATATGGTAAATTATGCATGTAAAACGAATACAATGAGTCAAATTTTAGTTTTACACTAGAAAGATCATAAGAATGAGCCCGCATCCTCAAAAGCAAGTTGATTATAAAAAAAATACCTTAATGTATTCTACAAAATCATAAAGCAAGCCATGGCTTTCATCTTGTATGTCACTTTCAGTGGTGCCTTCAGCATCAACTGAAAATGCGCTCTTCCATTTTTCAAACTCATGGGCAGCAGCTTCTTCCTCTTTTGCCTGACGAGCTTTAATTTCTTCTTCCTAAATATATGTTGGTTTGTAAGGTGTAATCTGAAAAGTACGATAAAATCGTAAGGAATATAAAATGTGACAACTTACTAAGGCACGCTCTTTAGCCTCACGCTCCTCCTCCTTTTTCCTCCTTATTTCATCATAACGGCTTGATTTAATCTGCCTTGATTCACGGGAAGCTTCTTCAGCCTAGATAATCAACCAGGGAACAAAACAAACAAGATTCAGTTGCTAAATGCATGGTTGCACAATGATAACAACTGACCGAGCATATCTTTTTTGCAGTTCTATGGTCCTGGAGTGTTAAAGTCAATCATCTTGAAACACAGATTTACAAATTAAGTGTAGAAGGGATTAAGATGCTTGTAGCTTTTGGGGGGATAGATTGATCATATAAGGTGAATAGTGACATCCCTAGTCATTGCAAGACTACATTACGCGGCATAATAGTAGAAGTAAGAATGATGACGATGATGATGATGATTGTGATAATAATAAGCATAATAATAATAATAATAATAATAATAAGCATAATAATAATAATAATAATAATAATATAAAGGGGTAAATAATGGATTGGCACCTGTCTCTGTGCTGCCCTCTCTTGACGCTTCTTTTCCTTCTTCTTTGATGCCTTGGCAGCATAATATCCATCCCCAGATGCATCATCATCACTTTCATCAACACTTTCTGTTTTCATTTATAAGTGAAAATATAATTATTGTTGCAGGCAGGGAAATCGAGAAGCAATACAGAGTTCCTTGCAGAACCTACACACCAATAATTCATGAGGGATTGTAAATTTGCAGTGAAGGAGAAAGCACCTTCTACAGCAGCAGCTGCTGAAGATGTACTGGCAGCTGAAGAAGCTGGTCTTCTACGCATGCGACGAGTTCCAGTTGCCCTGACGACAGCTTCCCTCCGCCTAACCTGACATTTTGTGGCAATACAAGTCCAACATTATTCAACAAGTCTACCGCAAACCCCTTTACTTGATATGAATGAGCATTTAAGTTCAAGAGCCGAAACTTCAAGGTAGGCTGAAAGGGCGATTTCACCAAAGCCTAACAATACAAATTTCTTTCTCCTAAAAGAATTACCAGAGTTTCTTCTTCAGGCTCCTCTGGAATTTGAGAGCTCTTCCGGATTTTCCATAAATACAACGGTACTAAGGCCAAAACAAGGAACATCGAAAGTATAAGGACAAATACATCTTCCATTCTCCAACGCCTGTTTGCCGAGACAACTCTGTCTACTTCGAGGATCCAGCAAACCTTTAAATCACACTCATAATGTAAATAAACAAATCAAACATTAAAATCCTATATATGAGTCTGTCATAGATTTCAATTCTATATTATATCAGAAGGATCGTAACATTCGGACGGAAAGAAAATTAGGAATTCACGAGTATTGAAAACAATACGACTATACGAGTGAGAAGAATCGGTTTTGCCTGAAGATCCTTGATAACCAAAAGAATACCCGCTCCGAGGTTACTATCCTGAAAATAATAGGCCTTTTTTTAATAAGTGACAAAACTCAAAATTTCACTTATTATCCGTATTAAAATCCAATTTACATCCTTCCATTAGATTGTTCGGTTGGTGTAGGATCCTCAGGGATAAAGTATCATCCTTTTTTTATTTTTTATTTTTAAAAACCAAAAGAAACCAATCGTTGGGTTTGATATGCAATTAGATTCACTAGTTAAACTAATTTAATTTGCATTTTATTAGATTCATGGGTGTATATTAATTTTATTAATCCATTCGGTTTGATCTATTGTTGTAACTAATTTCATTAGATTCATTAGCATTTTTTGGTAAAATTATAGGAGGATTAGTTCCTACCTTTCATTAATGATCATGCATGGCTAGGAAACCCAAAGTAAGTATAGAGAACGTGTAACGATAATGAACACCTATGGGTAATCTGTAGTCAATTGAAAAGTTTGTGATCTTGTTGGCTTCCCGGTAAATATGCTCAACTTTGATCGTTCAATTTCGACTCGAGCGATCTCAGAAGAGTACAAGTGTGTGCACACTCATCTTCTCTCGTCAAAAGTTGAATCATTGTCTACGATTCAAGCTGCATTCGTAGTTGGCTGTATCCAAACTCCCAAGTAAATTATAGTCCTTGCATAGCACCATAGCAGCTCTCAATTAAAGCATAATTATCGAGTATAACTCAGTATCGATACGCTGCTAAGCAGCACCATCGGAATCAAGTAACAAGTCTCCTATATTTGTTCGTTCAATCTCAAGAGACATCCACCACTATTTTGGTTGGTAGACCGATATGAGTGTATTGATCACGTATCAAGGTCTCCTCAATAGTCTTAACATGGTGTTGAATATGTTGTGCATGTTGGAAATTTTGGAATATTTCAAATGAATAAAAATTTTACATTTAAGTACTTTTAATTAATTATGTAAATGAATTAAATTCATTAATTATGTTTTTCATTGATACACTTGAAAACAAAGTGAAACCGTAGCATTTGCAAAACTTAAAGCTATTTCTCAATTTTTTTTCTCTAAACGTTGGAATCATTAACGGTTCAAATAAAAAAAACGTTGGAATCATTGATATTATTAATGATGCTAAACTTAATTTGCAGGCCTTTTGGTTGTCCTTGTGATGTGTGCATATATATATATATATATATATATATATATATATATATATATATATATGTATATATATTATATATATATGTATATATATTATATATATATGTATATATATTATATACATGTATATATATTATATATATATGTATATATATTATATATATATGTATATATATTATATATATATGTATATATATTATATATATATATATATATATATATATGTATATATATTATATGTATGTATGTATGTATGTATGTATGTATGTATGTATGTATGTATGTATGTATGTATGACACATGTATGGAGTATGATGAGAAAATGAAGATAGTCAAGAAAGTAACAAAAATAAACTTTTACCTAGCATAACGTATTAACGTTAGTGGAACATTGGAGGGTCATTTTGCATTCTATATACATGAATAAATAATATAATTATGGCTGGATGCCTGCGCGCGGGAAGATGGAAATGGTTCCGAGGACTCAAGTGATGGAGTAACAAATCGCACTCCTAACACTTTTAAGCTTTCCTGCAAAGTTCTTTTTCCTAAAGTTTGCTATACGAAAATCAAATATTTATTGCTGGGTTCATATACTATTTTCTTTTTGTTAGTTCTGCTTTCGGTTTGATAACCGAAGGGCTCGTTATATCTTGGGGGAAATTTCCGTACGCCGGAAATAATTCATTAGGACAGCGTCTGACGCGTCTCGAGCCACTAATATATTTTTAGTTCTTTTTAATGATTTTTCTGCAGGTCAATTCTCGAATCTAGACGGTAAATATGGTCACCTTAGAAGCAATACTGTCAACACGTTGATTTTGAAGGGATAGAGCCAACAGTGAAAGGGACTCGAAGGTGGCGCGAATATAAGTAAATATAGTTTCACTTCTGACCTTCCAGATAGACTAACATGCAACCCCAAAGAGAAGACTATTGCTCGTTGCCTTGAGGTGGTATGTGACCCAAGACAGAAGTGGGGACTCCCAGCTCGTTCGATGAGCGGAAAGGTGGGCAAGATGCTTTCAAGTGGTCATACCGCAAAGGGGCAGCCCCTTAGCACATGAAGAGTTGTTTCCTGGTGTTGATTGTAGCGTGAGCAGCTCCCCTCTACCATCATATGTCTACGTCTTCTTTCCTCATTGGTTAATAACCAGTTGTGCGATACGATTAGGGTCACGCCAATGCCAAACCAAGGATAGCATACTCGATTAAATCACGATCACTCACCGGAGAATTAATGGCTGATAGTGAATCTACCAGAAGTTTAATTTATAACAAATACTGATCCATAGTCTGAGATTATTTCTTTTTCAAATGAGACAATAAACATTTAAGCTCTATGGAACGGGAAATACAAGCAGACATAAATCTAGTCTAAAGTCTACCCCAAATAAGATGTGGAAATTTTAGATCATAAACTTCCATTAAAACATCTCTACCAAGAGTAGCAAAGAGCCATGATCTCACATTTAGATCGATTTTCAACCAGTGATTATAATCAACATTGGGAATTTCTCGCCTGGACAGATCATACGTAGTAGATGATGGTACCCGAATAGACCCATCTAGTATCCCTAAGAGGCCGTGAGATACTAAAAAGGATTTAAACTAGGTTCTCTGGGGTAAGTAATCTTCAACAGATGACAAGCGACTAGTCACAATATTATTCACATCAGGGGTAGAAAAGACCAATTGAGAATTGAGATGCCATGGAAGACAAAAAACTTGGAGGAATCGTAAAACCTAGCAGGTGGGGGAGGATGATACCTGCGGCAAAGGAGCTATCTCGGGCTATCCGGAGAATGCTAGTACGAAAACTGTTGTTGATGAACTGCCTACATCTAGAAAAGCTGGAGCAACTGGTGACGGGATCGTGGTTGCGATAGGCATCCATGTAAAAGGCTCGAGCATGTTGAATAATATGTAGGAGTCTAGCGGCGGGATTCCATGGAGGCGTTGCGACAAGGAGGCCGCTAACGGAGAGCGTATCTGTGCGGCTGGGGAAGGAGACAGAACCATCGACGTCGGAACCTGCTGGGAAGGAGACGTCGTGCTGCTTGAACCGGAGGCGGATTGAGGGTAGCCGGTAAGCGTTATGGTGACCGACGACGGGATGCCGGAGGAGGGTTGCACAATATGACGGGCGCCGTCCTTGTAGCGACGGCAGTGGTGGTATTGGCGGCCATGGAGAAAACGAGTGGGATCAAAAACCCTAAGGGACTGATACCATATACAAAACAATAATTTAGGGAAATAATGGCTTACCCTATTGGGTGCCTTAGCATTGTATTTATAATAAACCGAGTTTAGGAAATTACATAGTAATCCTTATATAAATACATTATTACTCTTAGGTAAGAAATTTGTCACCCACTTTAACACTAATAATAGAGTGATGAGTAAGTTATTCACCAATGACAGTATATTTTTTTTACACTTTTATTTACATAACTTTTTAGTATACAATTCTCTATTTCTTAATTCAGAGACCTAGTACCGGATTATTTTACTTTATTTTTGTTGAAGAAAACGCCCGCGGCTGCCGTACACTCAAATTATGAAGTTTATATTGAAGATAGAAAAAATGACATGTATATAATACTAATGAGTTTCTTGGGACACACATATGAGTAGTTATGTTCTTGGATAAAAATATGACTAGTCATTGTGTACTAATCACTATAGTGTATTTTAGAATGACAAGTCACTGTAAATGACGAGTCACTATGAACTATTCATTACATATGTCACTTTTTGGAAAATTTTAAAGCGAAAAAAGGTCAAATAAGGTCTTATACTATTACGGAACTGTCACATAAGGTCATGTACTTCATATAAATACATCTACTTATAAAAAGCAGTCAGATGAGTCTAAGGCTTTGTTTGCAAGTGCTTGTGCTTAAATAAAAGCACTTTTTGGGAAAAAGTGATTAGTAGTAAAAGTTGGTAGTGTTTGGTAAAATAAGTGTTTTTTGTGTAATAGAAAAAGTAAAAAGTAGATTCTACACGAAAACCGAGAAAGTAAAAGTTGGTAGTGTTTGGTAAAATAAGTGCTTTTTTCTTAGAAAAAAGCCACAATCACTTAAATTAATGGGTTGCAAACAGAGCCTAAATGACCTGTTGACAACCTCATAATCCCGATTTTAGCTTACGTGTCATTATTTTTGTCTTGTATTTAAGTCAATCCTAGCCAAATATTTCACGTTAGCTTTATAATCAATTTTAAAAAGATAGCCAAATGTACGCTAAAACAGAGATTATGAGGTTGTTAACAGGTCATTAGGACTCATCTGATTGTTTTTTATAAGTAGACGTATTTATATGATACTTTATTGAGTATATGACATTATATGACGATTTCATAATAGTAGAAGACCTCATTTGATCTTTTTCTCAGTTTTAAAATAAGTCACATTTTTATCTTTTGAATTTAATTTAGTACTCCTCTGTCCCACTAAAATTGTATCAATTTACTATTGCGGTATGTTCTACTAAGATTGTCTTATACCAAATTTGATAAAATTTGTGTGACTCTAAATCATTTTTACTTTATCAATGTAATACTCCATCCGTCCCGAAAACAACTTCCCGGTTGGACTTTCACACACTTTTAGGAAATAAATTTGACTTTACTGTAGAATGCACTATTTTGCACTGTTTAAACACTGTTTGGCACTGTTTAAACATTGTTTGGCACTGTTTAAACACTGTTTGACACTGTTTATCATTTTTTTGATGTAGATAATTTGCCAACTATGTAGCACCGATACCGGTACGCGGAAACGCGGAAACGGGTACGGGGATACGTCAAAACCAAAAAAAGTAGGATACGGATACGGGGCCATATTTATAAATATTAAAAGTTATGGGGGTGTATTTACAAATATTAAAAGTTATAGGGGTCTATTTATAAATATTAAAAATAGATTATTTTTGAATATATATACACACACACACACACACACACACACACACACACACATAATATCCTATTATGTCTACCCATTCATTGCATTGAAGCATTTTCCTTTTTCAAGATATTTAGTAATAAATTCATAATATTTCTCATATGGGTTTTTTATAAGAATATTACTAAAATAAAACTTATTAACATAAATATGACCATTCATTACTACAACATGGTGTTGTAGTAACTTAAGTTCAAAACTTGAACATGAATTACTATGATTTCATTACTACTCTAGTAACTAATCATATTTCTGTAAATCATCTTTATTTTGGTCATATTTATGTAATTATTTCTTCTCATATACACTAGTCATCTCGAAATATAAATATAGTCAATAAGTCATTAATTTAAAATGAGAAATAAGTCAAACAACTACAATCTTGAAATTAAAAGTGCAAGTATCCAATTCGGAGTATGAGTTAATGACTTAATTCGGATATAGCCATATAGGCCCATTATTTGATTACCAAGTAAAATGTAGTTTTAGATTTTCATTTTTTTTTAGAATTTTATTAAGTAAATTTTGGGATTTTTTTTTAAAAAGTTGATACGGGTATCCGTCAGGATACGAGTATCGGAAACTTTCAAAAAATTACAAAAAAAATGGAAACTTTTAAAAATTACAGATACGGCCCGGGAACGTACGGTACGGGTATCCTAGAGTATCGGATACGGGAACGTATCGGATACGCCGATACGCTACTCTAGCGAAGTATCCGTGCTTCATAGTTTGCCAAATAAGGAAAGTATTGAAGTGTGAAGTTAATTTTGGGACATCCATTTAAGGAAAGTGGGAAGTTGTTTTCGGGACGGAGGGAGTATCAAACACATAAATCACTCTTTATTAGTAGGAGGGAGGAACCAATATTCATGAAAAAAACTTTGAGGATACATAGGGATTGAAAGTTGAAACCAATCAAACCATACTCCATTAATTTGAACTTTGTACGTACAGTAATTAATAGTCTTATACTGTAATACTATCGTAATAATAAACTAACGTTATGTCAATAATCATATTATAATCGTACGGAATATTTAATTAATTAGATTTTGGTTCATGGAGTCCGGCAGGCCAGGACGAGGAACAATTATTAAGCAGGCCTTCAATGTAATCGACGCCGCTGTCGGCGACCCAAGGGTCGTCTTCAGTCTCCAAAAGATTGGCCACCGTGAACCGGGCGGCGACGGAAGCCTTCTTAACCACATGATAACCCGGCCAGTCGACCCTTTTGGCGGTTCCAGAACCGGGCCCGAGGTTCGCGAACTCGCCGTACCAGAGCGTGTCGAGATACGAGTCACCGGACCAGGGGGACCAGCCGGCGGGGTCAACGTGGTCGTCGATGAAGGACTCCATGACCATGGTCCGGGAGTAGTTCTTCCAGGGGCGGCCGAGGTACGTCGGGAAGTCGTCGGTGACGGAGGCGAGGTCCTTGCTGGGCACGATTTTGCACACGTGGAGGGAGGTGCCGGTGTTCTGGTTCGGGTCGACCCGCCCCTGCGCGGTGACCATGTTCTGCTGCGACTCCATGGGCTTCCGGGAGACGAGGGTGCAGTTCTGGAAGACGGCGGCGGCGTTGCCGAAGATGAAGTCGACGGTGCCGATGACGGTGCAGTCCCGGTAGAAGTGGCGGAGGGAGTGGGCGTAGAGGGTGTCCTGGAAGCCCTGGATGAGGCAGCGGTTGATTATGGATTTGTCGCCGCCGACTCGCAGAGCCACCGCCTGGTGCTTCTTTGCTCCCGCCGTGTTCCGCACGCCGACGTCTTGCAGAATAAAGTTTGCTCCTTTTGAAGCTGCATTTCATCCGCCATCAAATCATATTGTAAGGAAATTGCTTCAATATGAAAGAATTGAAACGTCTTGCAGAATATGAAAGTTTTTTTTTTTTAGGAAATTGCTTCAAATAGAATTGAAAGATCGACCGAGCGAGCTTAATCAAAATAGGATTAAATATGATTTCCTTTCAATAAAATATTTTCTCCATCCCAAAAAGATTAGTCAAATTTTCTTTCTTAGATTTCCCAAAAAGATTTGTCATTTTTAGGTAGATTCTATGATACCTATAAGGTACCTATAATGTCATAATTGAATTATTTAAATCTAAATTTAAAAAGATAAAGTGATGTGGTCAAATAAAATGGATGATAGGTACGGTACCTCATTTTTTAAAATGTACCGGAGTTGTCACCTTCCTTTTAAAGTAAGGAATATGTGGCTAAAATTAATTCTATCTCATCTGCACAAATTGCAATCAAACAATTTTTACTTTAATTTATTAATTCACGTGAAAATCAATTTTGGTCAACCTTTTCGGGACGGAGGGAGTATGGTTTTTTTTGGCCCATACCATTAAGAAGAATAAAATAGTTAAAATTTCTCAAAATATAATAATGAAGGAAAATTTGAAAATTTATGCTACGTTTTAGTCCTATTTTAGGAATTTCTGTATCACTCCATATTTTGTATCACTCCATATTTTATTACTCCATATTTTATTACTCCCTCCGTCAAAAAAAGATTCGCCAACTTGAATTTTTTTGATCAATGACAATCAACTTTGATCAATGATATATTTTAATACTCCGTACAAAATTATTTCTAATATGAAAGTTATACTCAAACTAGTTTGACCAAATTCACTTTCCTTATTCAAAATATTTTCATTAAAGTATAAAATTTATAAATTATATAAAATTTCTAATTTTGGATGAAATAAATTATATTTTATTAATTTTCTTATATGTTTCTCCAATTTGGAGCAACTTTTATAATGTTTGAGGAAAATTAACAAAAAAGGAGCAAAAATGTTTTAAAATAATTTCAAAATAAGACCATCATGTTTTTATTATTTAAATATGATTAATTACTATCAAACTTAGAAAATGTTGTCATGTTTGAAATTCGATACAGTCAAAACATGACAATAATTATTCATATTTAGAGAATAAAAACACGAGAGACCAATAATTTTGAATTTCACAAACGTATTTACTCCCTATAACAATTTCTTTTACATTTAATCTTAATAATTCATGAATACATGTTATGTCTATTATATTCAGGGGCATAGCGGGGGGCAAATGGGCAATCCTAGCCCCGGTCCAGCCCAAATTTAAAAATGTCTATATTTTTAGAATTAAAACTCCGTGTAATTTTTTTCCATAAATATTCTTTGTACCGACCGAGTTCGATCTAGTGCCCTGGCTCCGCCTCTGATTATATTGTACTAGTATATACTTCCTCCATTTCTTAAAAATGGCAATATTATGATTTTTGCACTATTCACACACTTAACTTTGACCACGATTTTCTATTAATATATATTATCAAATTATTATGTATAAAATGTTATTAAATTTCTATTATGTGAATTTCCAAAATATTAACTTTTTATAGTTTACTAATACTACCTCTGTTCCAAATTGATTTGCAAATTTGATTTTTCTTGGTCAAATAGTTTCATTTTATTCGCTTAATTAGGATGTCAAAATTTAATTATATTCTAATTTGGAGTTTGCAACTTTGTAGAAATTCCAATGTAGTTTCTGAATATGTAAATTTTAATTATTAAAAATTGGATCAATTATAAATAGAGAGGATTGACTTTTATTATTGGTTGATAACTTTGATATAATTAGGATCAAAGTTGTCACTTGACAAACATCACAATCAAAGTGTGTGCAAAAATCAAAGGAGAATACTCGTACTAAATACGGAGTAGCTTATTTCGTACGATAGTACGGATTATTAACCCACAAAATTCTTTCCAGTTTGACTTGACACGAAGATTAAGAAAATGGAATAAAATTTATATGTGTGTTTGTGATTATGTAAGAAAAATGTGAAATGAATGTGAACTACACAAATTATCCAAAAATGGTAAGTGAGAATAATTTTGTGAGACGACCCAAAAAAGAAAGTGGGAGGAGTAATTTGTGGGAATTGAATAATTTTGTAGCACCGATGGAGTACTACGTAGGTAACTTACCCAAGGTGAAAGAGTTGAATGTTGTGTAATTGTCCACATAATTATGGTTGCCGGTGAAGATGGTTTCATTCATGCCGTCGCCAACGATCATCAAATTCGTCTTCTCCGGCCCCACTTCCACATACTCATTGTACACCCCCTCCTTCACATATATCACAACCCTCTTCTCACTCCCCTCCTCCGCCGCTTCCACCGCTTGCTTCAACGTCGTATAGTCTCCGTCGCCGTCTTTAGACACCACTATATCAGCTTTTATCTTCTTTCCCTTACGCCGGAGAAGTCGCCGGTCTCTCGACTTCACCCAACCAGGAAACCTCCACTCCTCTAGCTCGTCGTTTCCGCCGTCTCTGATTTCAGCAACGACCGCTAAAGCCACTCTGGCTTTTGAGATCAGATCTTCGAGAACTTTCCCGATCGGAGATTTCGCCGGAGACAGGGTTAAGCCGTCCGTGCATGTAACGTGGTTGGTGAGAACGGCGCTGAGATAAGTATGTGCGTCGGCGGTTCTTGAACGCCGGCTAGCTTCTAAAGCTCTAATGGCGTCGTTGACTTGGTCAACGGATAGATTCATCAGCTCTGCGCAGTCTGCGAAAGCTCTTCTCTCCCTTGGGTGCTCAACTTCTCCTCCGACCATGCTGAACCTCGACGTCGCGGCGGTCATTTGACCGGCATATACGGCCAAGAATCGCCGGAGCAAATCAGAGGGAGTGCTGGCTGTCTTCGACGACTCGGCCGCCGCCGCGAGTTGACTCGTGATGATGGTCTTGCATGCGGATTGGTCGGCGGCGCGGCGGCATAGTCGCCACGGAGATACACCGGCGGCGGCCTCTCTCGCCGGCGTAGCAGTAGTGGTCAGAATCAACCAGGTGGTCCACCACACTGTGAAGGAGCCCTTATTGAAAGATGCCATTACTTGTTATTTTATTTCTGAAATTAATTGCTTAAGTAATTAATTAAATGCTTAATTATTGATGATCGATAATTGGCTCGCTGTGTGATCTGAAGTAGTGATGATAATATTGCTGTATATTAAGATTTGTTCTGATCTGCTAGCTGCATGCAGTTTGAATTCATTAATTCTTTGCTATTCGATTATCATGAGGCCAGCAGGAGTATATTATTACGTGTTTAAAGATGGATTATATTTGTCATGAATGATGCATGCATTGTAGAGTACGTTGTGGCTACGGACGGAAATGATTTTATAATGTTGTGCACGGAAGCTACTCAAGTCTCAAGCTACTCTCCATCTCTATATATATATTGATTATTACTGTATAATCTTTTAGGGATCGGAGTATATAATATCAATATTTTTGAGAAAATCTACTTTATCGATCTCATCTATATATTGAGGTCTGGTATGAAATGTTTTAAGTCGATCTTGTTTGATAAATATTTGGTGTATGCGCATTTTACTACATACAAGTATTATTTTCTAAATCTTGTATGGTATGAAATTGTTAAATTTAATTTGTTTATGTATGATCCATTCAATTAAATCTAATATGCTCTGGTTTTGACATGTGTGATTAAAATCAGTCCAATAAAAAATACACTTGTGAAATCACACAATGACACCATGTCGGTTGAGTTTGAAATGATCCGATCCTCCACTCTTGAAATAAATGTTGGAAATATTGAGAGTATTTCAAAAGAATAAAGTATATATGTAGAGGCCGTTTGGCAGCACTATTTTTCGGCTTATCAGTCTTATCAGCCAACTTTTTCACCAAACACGTAACTTTTACTTTCGCGCGTTGAGTTGTGTAATAAGCAGAAAAAGTAAGGTTGAAGTTACTTTTCTGGCTGTTTTGACTGAAGTTACTGTAGATGACCATTTTAGCTATTTTTACATATAATTTTTTCTTTATTTTATTAATAAGATATTTTTTAAAAATAATTGTTTCTTAAACCAACAGAATCAGCCAATGCAGCCACTTCAGCCAGAACTTCAGAAATTTCAGCAGAATCAGCCAAAACCGCCGATTTTTGTGCTACCAAACGGGCTCGTAGTATAAATGATTTTTCCCATTGTTTCTGTAATCAACTTTGGCACGTACGTTTATTCTACTTTTTGTTAGCTTTTTAACTTAGATTGTTTTTACTTGAACTGTAATTCGTCCCAGATCAGACCAGACCAGATCAGACCAGACCAGATCAGACCAGACCAGATCAGACCTAAATAGACCAGACCAGACTAAAAAAGACCAGACCCGACCAGATCAGACCAGCAAATTACAATCCAAGTAAAAACATCCTTAATCAATTTTATTAAAGGGAAAGTTCCCAAAATAGGACTAACACAGTTTGAAAATTCCAAAATATGACTGCCATGTTTTTTATTCCCAAAATAAGACTAATTACTGCCAAGTTTGGAAAATACTGTCATATATATTTGAAGTCTAATACTGTCAAAACATGACAGTAATTAGTCCTACTTTGGAATTTTTAAATCTTTTTAGTCATATTTCGGATAATATTCTTGATAGGCTCGTTCTGTTCCTATCTTTTCACCCATATTTTGGGTGATCATTGTCTAATTTTTGTAATTAACCAGGTGACTATTGGGGGTTTTGAGTAAAAATTTGCTATTTTCGGGCCCAATGGCATTCGTATTCGGTGTAATACTTTTGTACACAATTTGACATTTTTGGAGTAATTTGATTGTAAAGTTACATATTATTAGCGGGTGTGGTGAGTTGTTATTGTACAGGCTGAGTTCGCGGTGAATATGTTTGGACCGGATCATTAAAGGACGGTTTTTGAAGTTATTGTGTGCAATCCAAAAAGATTAAGTCAGCCCAACAAATGAAAAAAAAATAATGGCAGCAGTTTGTTCGTTTCACTGGCAGCCCAAAAAGAAAAGGAAAAATGGATCAACTGGGTTTTTTTTTGGGAGGAACCAGCAGCCGCACGGAGGATTCGATCTGTTCTATTCTTTCTGGGATCACACTTAGCCGCAGGAGGGATTTTTATTTTTCTGGAAGAGAAATCAATAGACAGCTCCAGCTTTTCTTCTCCTAATTGGCAGCCGCAGCAACACAAGTAAGAGCAGTAGTTCTCCTTCATTCTTTTCTTTTGGGAACAGCCGTAGTAGCAATCAAGAATCCAAGGAGGAGTTCTAAACTTTTCTTTTCAATTCAATTTAGATTCCAAGTAATCCTTGTTAAGTTTCAGCATATTTATATTACTAGTTCATCATTTTGGATTGAATTTTGAATTTATTTGTCTCCATCTAGTAATTTCAGATTTCTCTATTAAATACTCATAATTCAGTTCTTGTTTCTAGTTCCTTTATCATGTTTATCAATGTTATTGTGATGTTAATTTTAAGTATGAGTAGCTAATTCCACATAGGGATTGAATTGGGGCTAGGGTTCATGGGTTCCTAAGGGTGTGAATTTAGTTTTTTTGAAATTCAATTAATTTTCTGGTAAATTGTATAAGATTAATCATAATTGTCTATATGAATTTGATCACCTCATATATGAATTTTTGGATTTAATTCAATTCTTGTCTATGAGAAATTGAGTTAAATTAGCTTGGGTCTTATACAAACAATCTGATCTTAGAAATAAGTTAGGATTGTGAAAATTTGATTTAATTCTTGTCTATGAGAATTTATTTCATTTTCTGTCCAGGAACAATTGAAAATTAATTTACTTAAATCTAATCCCGAAAGAACACCCAGAACCCGAACCATCCAATTTGAACCCTGTTTTAATATCCTGAATCAATTTAATTTAATTTTTTTCTCTATTTAATTTTGCACTCACTATTAGTTAGTTTTATTTTTAAACCACTCAAAAAATATTTATTCGGAAAGATTACCATGACTTGTGCTAGCCTGTGATCACAGACTGTATTTAAAACTTCCTTTTTGCCACTCCTTGAGAGACGATACTCGTGGTCTGGTTATTCTTCAGATTAGCCAACTACGTTTTACTCACTAAAAAAAATACACCGATCAATTCTCTTTTATAAACTAATAAATGACGGTGTGTTACTTTTCAAAACTGAATGCATGTCTTACTACGGAAGTAGAGAGAGACTCTAACATCTCTCTAACCTTAGTCAATGTTTCTCCCTAGCGGCTTTGCAGTCTCGTGTATGGTTTCTTTTCGCCAATTGTTTGTGCGACTCTTCATCTCTAGACCTCTAGACTTCTATAGTGCTTTTAAAGAGGCGTGAGTGCGGCTGCAGCCTTTAGAAACCAATCCAAGGTTCAAGAAACGATAATCACGTCTTCTATGAATGATCTAGAGCAATGTTGTCTCATTCCTGCAATTGAGGAGGAGGTCGAAGGATTAGTTTCTGGCAAATTAACATGGGTAGAGGGCGATGGTGGTAATGGAGGCGGAACGGGTGATGAGAATATGAGGAGAGATGAATGGCTGAGCAAGGGAGAAGACAGATCGGTGGTCCGTCCCCCTCTTGAACCGTCGGCTTATAAGCTAATAACGGCAGAATAGTTCGTTCGAGATTATAACTAAATTTTAACCTAAGTTTGGTCAAGTCTATTAGAAGTGCATATGTATTATTGAACAATGAGGAAATATTAGTACTCCGTATACTAAATAAATAATTCGACTAAATAATGTGAATGTGTTTTTTAAAGATAATGTATATTCAGATTAAATAGTTATTATTTAATTATTAATTATGAGGATAAATTTTGAAATAAGATTGAGATTACCTTATGATCGATTGAAATAGTTAGGGATAAAGACCAAAAATGACACTAAGGTTTTTAGCGAATCTCGGATAGGATCATAGAACACTAACGTTTTAAGTAGACCAAATAAACACAAAATTATAGTTTTTGGGTTCATCCAAAACGTACACCAGAGTCTACTGCGACAACGGCGAGGTCTCCAGTTACAGAAACCCGGCGAGAAGTCGTCGGCCGAGCGTCTTCACCATTTCTCCGGCGAGATTTGCAGATACTCCGGCATGCCCAGACTCAGATTTCCTCAATTCATGCCATTTATGCCACAAAAGCTCACCGGCAAAGATGTATACATGTACAGGTACTTAATTACAAAACCCACAATTTATTCAAATCCAAGAATCTTGAAATCTCGAATCTTGATCCAATTGCTTGCAATTATGTTAGAAAAATCCTAAAATTTGATCAATTTGGCAGGGGAGAAAAGGGTTTTTGCAGCACGGAATGTAGATATCGGCAGATAGTGATGGACGAGCGCAAAGAAAATTGCAGCTTGGAGAACTCAGGCTCGCCATACAAAAATGGTCAGCTGTTTTCGACCGGAATTCTGGCCGTCTGATGATCGGAATTACTCCGGCTACTTTTTTTAATTAATTATTTTTGGGGATTATGTAATATTGTTATAAATTAATGTTATTATGGAGATGTAAATGGGGGTGATGGGTATATAAAGTATAACTTCGGAATACCTCTATACACGCCTGAGAAATGCGATGATAAGGGGTCTTCTTTTCTCATGTAATGAAATTTTTGATTTCTTAGTCCATTTTTTCTTAGTTCATTTCCTTCAACCAAACATGTTCTTGAGATGTTTATTTCCATTTTGGACGGGGGAGTTAACGGGGAAGGGTTGTTAACGGGAAAGAGTTAAATGGTGGTCAAAATGAACCCAAAAACTATAATTTTGTGTTTATTTGGTCTACTTAAAACGTTAATGTCTAATCCGAGATTCGCTAAAAACCTTAATGTCATTTTTGGTCTTTATCCCAAATAGTTATGCTCAACATATTTTTTCTGGTCAGCAACGCTTAAAAAATAGGAAGTCATGTGTCCGTAAGAGGTGAAGAGCGTAAAAACGGGAGAGGCAAACATGTAGACTTTGAGAGGGGTATAAATGTCTTTTAAAGAGCTATCTCTTTTCTTATGTATAAATAGATAAATAGAATAGATTCACCAAGCTTTTAATATGTGTTAGCTTTGATCATACAAATTTAATTTTGAAAAATAAATTCCGTTTAGTGACAATAAATCGTTGAAGGTTTATTCCACGAGTTTTTTACAAGCATATTACTAAAATAAAACTTATTTACATAAATATGACTATTCATTACTACAACGTAGTGTTGTGGTAACTTAAGTTCAAAACTTGAATATGAATTACTATGATTTCATTACTACTCTAATAATTAGTCATATTTT